GTGCGGCCAACATGCGGCCGTCTGGCCAGATGTGGCCCACCAGATTGCCAAATACGGCCCACTTGACTGCGGAGTGCGGCCCTCCTAACATTCTTATCAAAACCCTTTTACCTAATTCGCGAACACTAGTGAACTACAGCCGGCGTAGGCCTATCCAGCTACCCACTGCTCTTAGCCACTAGTTATCTCCCACTTAAAAAACAAGATATATATATATATATATATATATATATATATATTATATTATATATTTATATATATATATATATTATATATATATATATATTAAATATATACATATATAATATATATATAAAGCTCATTGGGACTCACCTGGCTGTCACACGAATGGATCTCACTCTTTAAAATTGAAAGTGAGTGAAACATGGGTAGTTTTGTCCGTAGAGTTTTGAGACCAGGACCGGTGTAGGAGAGGGAGATAATGGGTGTTTTGGGGAGGGGGGTGATAGGGAGAGAGAGGGAGGGGAAATGGAGGAGTAAGAGGGTGAGTAAACGGTGGAATGAGGGTAGGGAGGTTAAAATGAGGAGTGACAGAAAGAGTAAGAGAATAAAATATTCGTGGCCGTATTTACCGGGCATTACGCTTTTTCTTAGAGAGAGAGAGAGAGAGAGAGAGAGAGAGAGAGAGAGAGAGAGTAATAAACCAAATGGAAGAGTGAGACTAAGGCGATAAAAATTAGCTTAGAATGAGGGGAAGAAGTGAGAGGAAGGAACGTTAATATTATTGATGAGTAGAAGTAGTGTATTAGAGCCAGTGTGACACTAGTGTGACACTAGTGTGACACTAGTGTGACACCAGTGTGACACTAGTGTGACACTAGTGTGACACTAGTGTGACACCAGTGTGACACCAGTGTGACACTAGTGTGACACTAGTGTGACACCAGTGTGACACTAGTGACACCAGTTGCACTACATAGTGTGACACCAGTGTGACACCAGTGTGACACTAGTGTGACGCTAGTGTGACACTAGTGTGACACCAGTGTGACACTAGTGTGACACTAGTGTGACACTAGTGTGACACCAGTGTGACACCAGTGTGACACCAGTGTGACACTAGTGTGACACCAGTGTGACACCAGTGTGACACCAAATGTGACACCAGTGTGACACCAGTGTGACACCAGTGACACTAGTGTGACACCAGTGTGACACTAGTGTGACGCCAGTGTGACACTAGTGTGACATCAGTGTGACATCAGTGTGACATCAGTGTGACATCAGTGTGACATCAGTGTGACACCAGTGTGACATCAGTGTGACATCAGTGTGACATCAGTGTGACATCAGTGTGACACCAGTGTGACACCTGTGTGACACCAGTGTGACACCAGTGTGACACCAGTGTGACACCAGTGTTGACACTAGTGTGACACTAGTGTGACACTAGTGTGACACCAGTGTGGACACCAGTGTGACACTAGTGTGACACTAGTGTGACACTAGTGTGACACCAGTGTGACACCAGTGTGACACCAGTGTGACACCAGTGTGACACCAGTGTGACACCAGTGTGACACCAGTGTGACACCAGTGTGACACTAGTGTGACACCAGTGTGACACCAGTGTGACACTAGTGTGACACCAGTGTGACACCAGTGTGACACCAATGTGTGACACTAGTGTGACACCAGTGTGACATCAGTGTGACATCTGTATTAACACTTCTAATGACGTCTTTCTGAAACACATTTAGTTTTATTAAATTCTTTGTATCTCATTATTCTTCCTTCCTTCCTTCCTCCTCTTCCTGCTGTTGCTTCCTCCTCTTCCCTCTCCTCCTCCTCCTCCTCCTCCTCTGCATTAATGTTCTTCAACTTCAAGAAAAACTTGATAAAACAATGAAAAAAGTTCAACTTAAGGGGCATTTGTCGACCAGGATTAAGTTCGTAAAATTATTTTTTGTCTCGTAACTACTTTCCTTGGTAACTACTTACCTTGGTAACTACTTACCTTGGTAACTACTTACCTTGGTAACTACTTACCTTGGTAACTACTTACCTTGGTAACTACTTTACCGTGGTAACTATTTACCTTGGTAACTACTTACCTTGGTAAACTTTCTTGGTAACTACTTACCTGGTAACTACTTACCTTGGTAACTACTTACCTTGGTAACTACTTACATTGATAACTACTTACCTTGGTAACTACTTACCTTGGTAACTACTTACCTTGGTAACTACTTACCTTGGTAACTACTTACCTTGGTAACTACTTACCTTGGTAACTACTTACTGTGGTAACTACTTACCTTGGTAACTACTTACCTTGGTAACTACTTACCTTGGTAACTACTTACCTTGGTAACTACTTACCATGGTAACTACTTGCCTTGGTTACTACTTATCTTGGTAACTACTTACCTTGGTAACTACTTACCTTGGTAACTACTTACCATGGTAACTACTTGCCTTGGTTACTACTTATCTTGGTAACTACTTGCCTTGGTTACTACTTACCTTGGTAACTACTTGCCTTGGTAACTACTTACCTTGGTAAGTACTTACCTTGGTAACTACTTGCCTTGGTAACTACTTACCTTGGTAACTACTTACCTTGGTAAGTACTTACCTTGGTAACTACTTGCCTTGATTACTACTTGCCTTGGTAACTACTTACCTTGGTAACTACTTACCTTGGTAACTACTTACCTTGGTAACTACTTACCTTGGTAACTATTTACCTTGGTAACTACTTGCCTTGGTAACTACTTGCCTTGGTAACTACTTTCCTTGTTAACTACTTACCTTGGTAACTACTTACCTTGGTAACTACTTACTGTGGTAACTACTTACTATGGTCACTACTTACCTTGGTAACTACTTACAATGTTAACTACTTACTGTGGTAACCACTTACCTTGGTAACTACTTACCAAGTTAGTGACCAAGGTAAGTAATTACTGTGGTAACTATTTACCTTGGTAACTACATATTATTATAACTACTTACCTTGGTAGCTACTTACCTTGGTAACTACTTACCTTGGTAACTACTTACCTTGGTAAGTACTTACCTTGGTAACTACTTGCCTTGGTTACTACTTACCTTGGTAACAACTTACCCTTGTAACTACTTACCTTCGTAACTACTTACCTTGGTAACTACTTGCCTTGGTAACTACTTACCTTGGTAACTACTTGCCTTGGTTACTACTTACCTTGGTAACTACTTACCTTGGTAACTGCTTGCCTTGGTTACTACTTATCTTGGTAACTACTTACTGTGGTAACTACTTACCTTGGTAACTACTTACTATGGTAACTACTTACTATGGTAACTACTTGCCTTGGTAACTACTTACAATGGTAACTACTTACTGTGGTAACCACTTACCTTGGTAACTACTTACCGAGGTAGTTTCCAAGGTAAGTAGTTACTGTGGTAACTACTTACCTTGGTAACTACTTACTGTGGTAACTACTTACCTTGGTAACTACTTACTGTGGTAACCACTTACCTTGGTAACTACTTACTGTGGTAACTACTTACTGTAGTAACTACTTACCGTGGTAACAACTTACTGTGGTAACTACTTATCTTGGTAACTACTTACTATGGTAATTACTTACCTTGGTAACTTCTTACCAAGGTAGTTACCAAGGTAAGTAGTTACTGTTGTAACTACTTACCTTGGTAACTACTTACTGTGGTAACTAATTACCTTGGTAACTATTTGAAATGGTAACTACTTACTGTGGAAACCACTTACCTTTTTAACTACTTACCTTGGTAACTACTTACTGTAGTAACTACTTACCGTGGTATCTACTTACTGTGGTAACTACTTACCTTGGTAACTACTTACTATGGTAACTAATTACCTTGGTAACTATTTGAAATGGTAACTACTTACTGTGGAAACCACTTACCTTTTTAACTACTTACCTTGGTAACTAATTACAATGGTAACTACTTACTGTGGTAACTACTTATCTTGGTAACTACTTACTATAGTAATTACTTACCTTGGTAACTACTTACCAAGGTAGTTACCAAGGTAAGTAGTTACAACAGTAACTACTTACCTTTGTAATTGCTTACTGTGGTATCTACTTACCTTGGTAACTACTTACTCTGGTAACTACTTATCTTGGTAACTACTTACTCTGGCAACCACTTACTTTGGAAACTACTTACCTTGGTAAGTACTTACTTGGTAACTACTTACTGTGGTAACTACTTACTTTGGTAACTACTTACTGTGGTAACTACTTACCTAGTAACTACTTACTGTGGTAACTACTTACCTTGGTAACTACTTACTGTGGTAACTACTTACCTTGATAACTACTTGCTGTGGTAACTACTTACCTTGGTAACTACTTACTGGGGTAACTACTTACCTTGGTAACTACTTACTCTGGTACCTACTTATCTTGGTAACTACCTATTGTGGTAACTACTTACTGTGGTAACTACCTACCTTGGTAACTATTTACCTTGGTAACTATTTACCTTGGTAACTATTTACCTTGGTAACTATTTACCTTGGTAACTATTTACCTTGGTAACTATTTACCTTGGTAACTATTTACCTTGGTAACTATTTACCTTGGTAACTGTTTACCATACAGATATTCCTCCTGTGAAATTTTTATTTCTTATGTGTCAGTATTCGAAGATAATGCAAAGAAAATAAGGGGAATATAAATGACAGGCGATGTAGTTGAGTCTCTGAGAATGGTGAAATATAAGTGGCTGCTCGAGTTCAACTCCCATGGTTATCATATGGCTTCAGGAGCTCGATCCTGTTAAGTATATAAATGATAAAGTGGGCTACGAACAGTTTTAATAACGTCGGGTTGGTAAAGAACTGGAAGGGACTGAGGGCTGAGGGAATATTTATTGCAGTTTAAAATGGTACACAGCTTAAAGAAGATGTACGTCAGATATATCACTTTAGATAACAGATTAGCACTGCAATTAGTAACGATCTCTCTCTCTCTCTCTCTCTCTCTCTCCTCTGACAGTGCTGGTAGTGGGTTGTGGGCGTCCAGCGTGGGCTTCAGGAGGAGACATCTTTTACTTCAGCTCGTGGCCAGCCAGTGGACGTGTGGGAGCAGGAGAGGAGAGGGTGCTGAGGTGTGCTGTCTCTGACACCTCCAGCATCACCCTCACCTGGCACTTGGATGGCCGGCCGCTCACCTACACCTCCAGGACTCACCTCAGAGGTCAGTACTCATATTACCCCTCCCCTTCTTTACACCCCTTCCCCTTCTTTACATCCCCCCTCTTTACACCCCTTCCCTTCTTTACATCCTCTCCCCCTCTTTATATCTCCCCCTCCTAATGTTAGGTTAAATCACCAGCTTCCTTCACCTTCCCCTCTTACCTACACCTCAGCTACTCCTGCGAGGGTAGTACATCCCTCAGTCATCCTTTCCTTCCTCTTCATCCTCCACTCATCTACACCAAATTAACAACAAAAGCAACAACAGTCAACATTTACTCTAGCTTCTCGAATTAAAGAGGGAGGTGGGTTATTATGCGAATTTTTAAGTGGCTTCTGCACGGGAGATATTTACATATTAGCTATATGGGTAAAGAGTGTTTTGTTGGTAAGCAAAAACAGAGAAGCCAACCTAACCTAACCTAGATTTAGAGTTAGTCTTTCTAATCTAATCGAAATTTTTAATTATTCCCTCTTACCTAAAAACAAATTTCGCCATAGTTCAAAAAATATTGTTGATTGCAGTGCACAACCCATTTGATAGTGTTGGATTTGCATAGTAAAATTCCGAACAGTTGATGTGCATGTTGAGCAACCCCCCCCTCCCCCCCATCCTCACTAAATATCTTATAGCATTGCTTACAGAGTATTCGATGTCTATTGCAAAATTCATTTATTATTAAATCATAAATTATCATTCTGCTCTGCCGACCAGCTATAAATATTGACAATAACAACAAAAATAATTAATAGTAATAAAAATAAATATCAATAAAACCCACAATAATAATGCTAACAATGAAGTGGCTATTGTTGCAGGAGGAGAGGTGGTGGAGACAGCCTCAGACTTGGTGATCACCAGAGCTGTACCTGAGGATGCTGGAGAGTACACCTGTATAGCTCACAACACTACCTCAGGCTTTGCCCTCACCTCACTGCCAGCCACACTCACTGTCTTGTGTAAGTAACTAACTCTCTCTCTCTCTCTCTCTCTCTCTCTCTCTCTCTCTCTCTCACTATCTGTCTCTCTCGTAGAGATTTTCTACTGAGTGTACACTAGACTTACGTAATTTTAGAACATTTATCAATAGTTAGGCTCTAGAGAACAAAACGACTCCTCAGATAAATTCTCTATTAAGTCACTTCCCCAGGACGTCACTTTTCCCCAGGACGTCTCTTTCCCCCAGGGCGCCACTTCCCCCAGGCAGATCCAGCGTCACTGGCGGAAAATGAAATTCATGGCTTTTTTCCCTCCCTCCCGAATATCGTTCGTTTTATATAGGAAAGTTATTTTCCCGTTCTGGAACTTTTTACATTTAATGCTCTCAAAATCTTTTAGTCGATTTCCAGGTAATGACAAGCCAATGAGGTAAATAAAACTGATTCAAGCTAGGAAATAGACGATAATAAAGCAATAAGGAGACAATAAAACAAACAGAATAATACACACACAAATAGATACAGGAAGGCAGTTAGACAGGGAGGTTGAGACAGGAAAACGGGGTGGGAAAAAGAGACAGGGACGTAGAAACGGAAAGATAAAGGTAGACAGAGGAACAAGAAAGTAGACACGAGAGACATGAAGGTAAACATAGGAACGGAGGGACAGAGTAAAGGATGTCGACAGAAGAACAGGAAGGTAGAGAAAACCTGTGAAACAGGGCTAGAGACGGGAAGATAGATAGAGAAACATGGAAGTAGAGAGATAGGAAGGTAGAGACTGAGATTCTCAAGAGGCTGACATATCACAGTACTCAGGGGCTGGTGGCTGAGTGTACACAGTGGTAATCTCTTGTGCCATCGTCTCCTCACGTCTAGTCTCTTCCTCTTCACCTCTCATATCCTCCTCTTCCGCTTCTCCATTCTCCTCCTTGATTCTCTCGATCTACCTCTTCCTCGTTCTCTTAACTCCTCCGCTTCTTCCTCTTCCTTCTCTTCAGCTCTACGGTAACGGGATATTAATAACTTGCAAACTTGTTTAAGTGGCGTTAAAGAAAATACATAAATACATGAATATACAAGTAGGTAAGTGATAACACACACACAACACACACACACACACACACACACACACACACACACACACACACACACACACACACACACACACACACACACATACAGTCACACATATACTATAGAAAACCAAGAACAGGAGACAGAAACGAGTAGGTAAATCAGAAAAGAAAATGCAAGGATGAGAAGGAGAAGTAACTGCAAAATTTAAGAAAAGCTGTAACAGCAGGAGCCAAATCTAAATCGAAACTGCTTCACAATCACCTCAAAAGACAGACTATGATTAAAGACTGGTTAGTAAGGCAGAAGGAAGGAAGGAGTAGTAGTGGAAACACAGCAAGACTAGATTCAACGGGTATTGGAGTCCATACAGGGTAAAATGTGAAAGAAAAATATTTTAGTAAGCAAGATTCATCACTGGGACCCAACAAAATATCATTATGCATTCTGAGAGAGGAAGCAGAAATATTGTCTGAAACCACAGTGAAAAAAAATTAGGAAAAAGCAGACGGAAGTATGAATATAGGAAATATCAAGAGAAAGCAAAAGGAAGTTTTAACGAAATTGTTGTTGTATACTCTATAAAGTTTGGAAAATTCAAATGTACCTTTGGAAAAGACAATTTTGTGATTAACTGAGGTTAGAAAGCACTGAAAGAGGAGAGGAGTAGGGTGGAAAACTTAGAGAAAGACTTTGTTTAAGGAAGGGCCCCTGGACAAAAAAGGGAAGAAAACATTTGTGGGCAGAAAATGATACTGAACAAAATATTACACCCGTAGAAGAGCAGTTAAAAAGTGGAACAACATTGAATAAAACCCTTATATAAAAATGCCGGGTGGGAAATGGAGAATAACAATTTGAAGAAAAACAAAAAGGGGAAGCTTTCCAGATAAAAACCCTTTAGGTCACTCATTTTAGGAAAAAACATGGTTTGAAGAAGGAACCTGGTAGAGCACTTACCAGGAGACACAAGTAGGGAAAAATCTGGGTGAAGAAGAATTAACCCTTGGTCCACTTTGTAAAAAATATGGAAGAAATTTTAGGGGTCGGAGCAAGGGCCAATTGTTGGAGATGGTAACCTATGACACTGGTAGGGGAAGCCCACTGGTAGAGGAAGACAGGTAAGAAAAAAACTGGTAGAGGAAGACATGGTAGAGGAAGACATTGGAGAGGAGACACTGGTAGAGGAAAACGGGTAGAGGAAGAATGGTAGGAGGAAGACACGGTAGAGGAAGACCCGGGTTTGAGGAAGACATGGTAAAAGGAAACACTGGTAGGAAGCACTGGTAGAGGAAACAGTAGAGGAAACACTGGTAGAGGAAAATTTTAAAGGAAACACTGTTGGGGAAAAAGGGGAAGAATTACTGGTAGAGGAAAACTGGTAGGACGACACTGGTACGGGAAAAGAACACTGGTAGAGGAAGACACTGGTACGGGAAGACACTGGTACGGGAACCAAAGGAAGAACGAAAACTTGGTAGAGGAAGACACTGGTAGAGGAAGACACTGGTAAGGAAAAAAACGGGTAAGGAAGACACTGGTAGAGGAAGACACTGGTAGAGGAAGACACTGGTAGAGGAAGACACTGGTAGAGGAAGACACTGGTAGAGGAAGACACTGGTAGAGGAATGCCCTGGTAGAGGAAGACATTGGTAGGGGAAACATGGTAGAGGAAAACACTGGTAGAGGAAAACTGGTAGAGGAAGACACTGGTAGAGGAATATACTGGTAGAGAAGACACTGGTAAAAGGGAAAACACTGGTAGAGGAACACTGGTAGAAGGAATATATTGGTAGAGGAATTACTGGTAAGGAAAATTGGTAGGGGAAGACACTGTAGAGGAAACACTGGTAGAGGAAAACTGGTAGAGGAATATACTGGTAAAGGAAAACACTTAAAGAACTGGTAGAGGAAGACACTGGTAGGAGAAACACTGGTAGAGGAATAATACTGAGTTAGAAAGGAAAACAGGGGTAGAGGAAATACGGGTAGAGGAAGACACTGGTAGGAAACACTGGTAGAGGAATTGTGGTAGAGGAAGACACTGGTAGAGAAAAAATGGTAGAGGAAATACGGGTAGGAAAAACTGGTAGAGGAAAAATGGAAAGGGGAATATACTGGTAGAGGAAGACACTGGTAAGAAGACACTGGTGGGAGGAATAAGCTGGTAGAGGAAACCCTGGTAAAGGAAGACACGGTAGAGGAAAACTGGTAGAGGAAAACTTTAGAGAATAACTGTAAAGGAAAACATGGTAGAGGAAAACTTCTGGTAGAGGAAGACACTGGTAGAGGAAAAAATGGTAGAGGAAATATGCGGGTAAGGAAACACTGGTAGAGGAATAAATGGTAGAGGAATATAGGTAGAGGAAACACTTAGGGGAATATACTGGTAGAGAATATACTGGTAGAGGAAGAACACTTAAACTGGTAGAGGAAGACACGGGTAGAGGAAGACACTGGAGAATTATACGGTAGGGGAATATACTGGTAGAGGAAAACACTGTAAGGAAAACTTGAGGGAAGATCAACTGGTAGAGGAAGACACTGGTAGAATGGAAGGGGAAAGACACGGGTAGAGGAACACTGGTAGAGAAATACTGGTAGAGGAATATACGGAAAGGGAAAACTGGTAGAGGAAAACTTAAAAAGGGGAAGACACTGGTAGAGGAAGACACTGGTAGAGGAATACGTTGGAGAGGAGAGGAAACACTGAGAGAAGACCTGTAGAGGAAGGCACTGGTGAGGAAAAAAATTGGAAGACACTGGTGAGGAAGACACTTAAGGAATATACTGGTAGAGGAAGAAAACTGGTAGAGGAAGACATGGTAGAGGAAAGACACTGTGGGGAGGAAAGGACAACCTGGTAGAGGAAACAAGCTGAGAGGAAACTTATTAAAGGAAGACACTGGTAGAGGAAGACACTGGTAGAGGAATATACTGGTAGAGGAAGACATGGTAGAGGAAGGGCACTGGAGAGGAAGACACTGGTAGACACGGTTTGAGGAAGACAAACTGGTAGAGGAAACACTGGTAGAGAGACACTGGTAGAGGAAGGAACTGGTAGAGAGGAAACACTGTAAGGAAGACACGGAAGAGGAATATAATGTAAGGAAGAACTGGTAGAGGAAACCTTAAAGGGGAATTACTGGTAAGGAATAACTGGTAAGGGAAGACACTGGTAAGGACACTGGGAAGACACTGGTAGAGGAAGACACTGGTAGAGGAATATATTGGTAGAGGAAGACACTGGTGAGGAAAACACTGAAAGGGAACTAAGAGGAAAATATGGAGAGGAATATACTGGTAGGGGAAAAACACTTTAGGGGAAAATATACTGGTAAGGAAAACTGGTACATGGTAAGGAAGACATGGTAGACCACTGGAAGAGGAAGACACGGGTAGAGGAAGAAATGGTAGGAAACGGGAAGAGGAAGACACTGGATGAGGAAACACGGTAGAGGAATAAACTGGAGAGGAAAACTGGTAGAGGAAACACTGGTAGAGGAATATACTTGGAGAAGGAAATTACGGGAGGTAAAGAAAACACTGAAGGAAAAGGTAGAGAAAACTTGGGAAATAAGAGGAAGACACTGGTATAGAGGAAGACACTGGTAGAGGAATAACGGGTAGAGGAAGACACTGGTAGAGGAAACCCCTTGGAGAGGAAAAAGGGTAGAGAAATATACTGGTAAAAAAAACAACTGGTAGAGGAAAACTTGGGAAGGGAAAGACACGGGAGAGGAAGACACTGGTAGAGGAATTCGGGTAGAGGAAAGACACTGGTAGAGGAAACACGGGGAGGAAGCCCACTGGTAAGTAACGGGTAAAGGAAAACTGGTAAGAAACATTAAAAGGGAAGACAGTAAGAAGACACTGGTAGAGGAAATACTGGTAGAGGAAGACACTGGTAGAGGAAGGCACTGGTGGGGAAGACACTGGTAGAG